ATATATATCAAGGGCATGTGCAAAGATGGCCAATAGGTAGGTGATATAATAGTTGTACCAGTTGCCATGATTCTTTATTATCATTTATTTAGTGGAAGAAAACGATTAGAAATTGACATTGATGATGTAGAGTTTCTGAGAAGTCTACGATTTACATGGGAAAAAATAGCCTCCATTTTATGTGTAAGTCGATCAACACTGTACAGAAGGCTACAAGAAGTGGGTTTGGCAACAGCAATTACTTATTCTGATATCACTGATCAGAATCTTGATCGGTTGATTTACACCATTAAGGAGACACATCCCAATGATGGAGAACGATTGATGTTAGGCCATTTGAGTAGCTATGGTATAAGAGTACCAAGACATCGTCTTCGTGCATCAATTCATAGAGTCGATCCTATCAACACAGCTCTAAGACGTAGTACTATTATTAGACGAAGAAGGTACCATGCAAGTGGTCCAAATGCTGTGTGGCACATCGATGGTAATCATAAAATGATTCATTGGCATTTAGTAATACATGGAGGAATAGATGGTTTTACAAGAACAATAGTTTTTCTAAAATGCTCCGATAATAACAGGGCTTCCACAGTACTTGATTCTTTTACTAAAGCTACTCAATCATATAATGTTCCATCTAAGATACGAACTGATTGTGGAGGAGAAAATTCAGAGATTTGGCGTTGCATGATAAATTATCATTCTACACCTTCTTCTGTCATAACAGGGTCCTCTGTTCATAATGAAAGAATAGAGCGTTTATGGAGAGATGTTACTAGATCTGTGAGTTCACTCTTTATTTCAGCATTTCAAGAATTAGAAGAAGATGGGAAACTTAATCCCACTAATGATTTAGATGTTTTTTGTTTACATTGGGTGTATTTACCATTAATAAATAAAACTTTAGAGGAATTTAGAGAGAGCTGGAATAATCATCCAATTTCAACAGAGCACAACAATACGCCAAATCAGCTATTATGTCAAGGACTGCTTAGTCAAGATTACTCTCAGCCAACTGCTACAGTGAGTAATAGGATACAAATACCTTCCTCCACTAACTCTGTGACAGTTTCTTTTGACAAATTTCAACCTTGCAACACCCTCAAAGTAACACTTCAAGCTGTAACACATAATTTACGATCTATAGATGAAGCAGCATCAAAATATATTCAGGTAGCAAACATCGTGGCAAGCCACTTAGTTGCCAACTGTAATTTGTGTTCATAACTAATTACCATTAGTGACAATAACTTTATCAATAATTTTAATGTATTAAATGTAAGAAACAAAATTGTAATTTTCGTTCATAACTAATTACCATTAGTGATGACTTTACCAATTTAATGTATTAAATGTAAGAAACAAAATTGTAATTTGTGTTCATAACTAATTACCATTAGTGATTTTAATGTATTAAAATTAATGTAAGAAATAAAATTGTAATTTTTGTTCATAACTGAGAGCAAAATAATTTTTAAAATATAATTGAATAAAATGAGACAAAACTGCTATTTAGAAATGAATAAGATAAATGTATATGTATTGAATAACATGAGAATAACATTGAATAATATGAGACAAAGTGATTAAGGATAATAAGTAAAGAAAACAAAAGGAATCAAACTTTACCAAATCCAATTGCATTTGCTATAGAAAAACAAAATAATTCTTTAAACTCTTCATACGATTCGCTTAACAATGACAACCTCAAAATATTAGAACAAGTGTTTGCTTCAGGGTATTTAGACCGCTTGTGGAACAGAATGGACGGTTGAGGGCAAAAGCCAATTGGTGGTACTGTGCTTGCCCCAGTTGCAAATGCCAATATGTCACCTAAAGAGATAGAAAATTCAGTCTCTTCAGTTTTCACTAATCCAATGCCATCTATACAAAACAGTAAAGTAAAAATGAACTGAAGGTAAAAATGGACTGAAAATACTTACTTTGTACATCTTGCAACAAATTCACCCAGAAGAGGGCTACCTCTTCTTCCTTCTCTCTGTCATTAGAACCTTTAATAGAGAAACTGATGCGAAAAATATCTTGCATAATATCACAAGTAAGCTGGTATTGGTAGGCAATGAACAGTGCTCTCATTTTAACAGGATAATTCTGAAGTAAAGCTAAGATTCCTAATGTGTCTAGTCCAGCTTTTATCTCATCCAATTCTGCCTTAATAACCATCTAAAATTGTGAAATAATAGTAATAAATATACTATAAGTTAAGAATACTTTACAATAGTATAATGAGAAATGATTCTGTCAATAATTTCCTCTCTTGTAACAGTTGACACATTAATGCCACAATCATATATAAAATCATACTCGTCTGTCTTTATTAATTCCCGAAATTCGCTGTCACTAGCTTTAGCCAACTGTAAATGCATACATACAACATGAATTCAAAAAGAGAAAATAAAATTACCTTTCTAGTCTTCTCTCGTGTGGCATAATCCAATATATCTTCTATTGTGCCATTAATCTTATGAATACCATATGTTAAGTAGTTAGCTACTGGGTGTGACAGACACTGAGGGCCAGGGCCTCCATGTACAATAGAAAGGGCAAAAATTTCTCCCAGAAACTTATATGTACTCTTCTTTAACTCAATCACATTATGTGCAGGTGAACGCGAATCTTCGGGGCCTTGAAAGAGCGAGTTATTACTAACAGCGTCTTTCATTACTAAACGGAAAAACTCACGTAGAGGCCCTCCTGCATCTACAGCAGGTTCACCTATGAAAGTGATTCTTAAATTCGATGACTTGTCAAAGCCTTTCCTCATTGCAGTAAGAGCATCGGAAAAAATATGACTCCTATGGACTGTGATTCGATGAAATTGATCATACTTGATAACGTTTGACTGATGACTACGTAGTAAAACTTCAAGTGAGGGGCCTTGACTGAGTAAATGTATGGTAAAAAAACAAAAACTATAAACACAAAATACCTTTCAGTTGGAGTTAGTGGGCTAAATTGAGGCTGCACTGGAGAAGGCAACTGGCTATTGTCCGACTCTTCATCAACCAAGTCAACAAAAGAACTGTAAAGAGCAAAAAAATATGGCTATTCTATCAATTGATACTAACCTATAATAATTATTAGGTGCTGGTGGTGATGGATCCGCACTAATATAAATGGGAGAATCATCAGGCTTTACCTTTGGCCTAGGCGTATCATCCTTTTGAGAAAATGTAATACATTTAAATAGATGATTAAGTTAATGATGACAAGAAATTTACTTTTAATTCTTCATCAGCTAACAGATAAATGGGACATTTTGCATTTTTGCCAGCAAGAGACGCAGCCGTCCAAACAAAAGACTCTGACAAAGCTGGTATTGTTAGTGACTTGCTACCCCCACCAGTAGGCTGCAGAATAATAAACTTGAAATTGCTGTTATTTCTCATTGGCTTTTTGAATACATCACGGATTTCGTCAAATATTGCTTCCTGACTCATTGATGAGTCAAGTGTAATTTTGCCAATTAGTGACTTGGCACCTAGTGAATCCCTCTCTCCTCTAGGTATAGCAATTTTACCCGTGACATCCTTTCCATATGATGAAGGTAATAAAATTATGTCCCTTTCGTACGTTATGAGTCTTTTCTTCCCTGATTGGCCACGTGATACCTTCTGAGCCCTTTTGCTAACTGATGGTAATTGTCTAAATAATGAGACAAAAAAATTGAAGGCAGAGTAATTAACAGTTTATATAACACATTGTTTGCATTATGTAATTATTTTTTATATAACAATGTGTTAATTGTTTATAAAACGGGTAGTCTGTTAAACTTGGTTTACAGTCTGGTCTGGACTAACCGTCTAAATTTCGGTAAAGGAAGAAAATCGTTATCATCACTGTCATCAGATGGTCGTGGTCGCGATGAGCCAGCTTGAGCAGCTCCAGCTGAACTAGAATCAGCTCTTAAATTTGCAAAGACATTAGTTACTGCCGACACCAAGGCTGTCTGTAAATTAGTGAAGTTTTCGTCTCTAGTTGCCATGCTGTTTTAGAAGGAGTGGGTGTGGCAGTCTGCAATGCCCGCCCGCGCCCACTTAATTATTAAAGTGGTGGATATGCATGATGTCTCTGCATTATTTTAACTATGTCACTGGATATTTACCTAAATGTCTGTACTTTTATGAATAATAACCTAAAATGTTCGCCCATTTAGCTTAAATCAATGGATATTTACCTAAATGTCTGTACTTTTATAAATATTAACCTAAATGTCCGTGCATTTAGCTTAAATCAATGGATATTTACCTAATTGTCTGTACTTTTACCTAAATGTTTGTGCATTTAGCTTAAATCAATGGATATTTACCTAAATGTCTGTACTTTTACTTAAATGTTTGTGCATTTAGCTTAAATCAATGGATATTTACCTAAATGTCTGTACTTTTACCTAAATGTCCGTGTATTTAGCTTAAATCAATGGATATTTACCTAAATGTCTGTACTTTTATAAATATTAACCTAAATGTCCGTGCATTTAGCTTAAATCAAT